CCATCAGCTTTTTCACGTCCTAAACCTTAAACCTTGAACCCCAAACCCGTTTCCACATATCTTATGCAGGGGGTTCATTATGATCGGGACGTGTGGTTTTCGGTTTGGGTCATCAGTTCGAAAAAAAAACATCCTGTTTTGGAATTTGAGCAAAGGCTCCTAAGCCCTAAGCCCCAAACGCCTTGGATACTAAATGCCTAAACCCTAAAGACGTAAACCTTTAAACCGTTAACCTTGAACCCTGAAACCCCTAAGCTCTTCAACCCGATCAGCCCGCAAAAGATTCAGGCCGAAGGGCTTCTCCGCACCTGCTTTCACGCCGCTGATTGTGTCGGATCATGGCCCGCAAATCTTACGATGTTGGAGATCTCTAGGTTTTTGGGTTTTTAGGGTTTGGGGTTTAGGGTTTGGGGTTTAGGGTTTGGGATTAAGTTTCGGCCTGGGCCTAGACTTACCCTTAAACCCCAAATGTCAAACCCTAAATTACTAAACCTGAATCCTTCGAATCGTCATCCCAGCAGATGAAGAGTCAGTTGCGCAGTCTATTTTGGGGTCCGGCTACTTGGGGGAAATTCCGATTATTCCACTTAATCCAGATCTTTTCCCCAACAAAGACCCCACAATCCTCTTAGGATCCCGATATGTCCCTGGGGTCTGCAGGGGCCACCCCATTTGAGACTTTAAGCCCTGACCCCTCATCCTTAAACCTTAATCCCTAGACCTTGAACCCTAAACCTTAATCCCTAAACCCTGAACCCTAAAAAAAACCTGAACCCTGAGCCTGAATCCCACCCTTAAACTCTGGACCTTAAACTCTAATCCCTAGACCTTAATCCTTCAACCCTAAGCTCTTGATTTCTACACTCTGCCCCCTTAACCTTAAACCCTAGACCCTTAATCCCTACACGCTAAACCCTAGACCTACAACCCTAATCCCTAAACCCTAATCCCTAAACCCTACACCCTGATCCGTCAACCCTAACCCCTAATCCCTACGTTCTCATCCCGCAACCCTAAACCCTAAGCTCTAAACCCTTCTACACTGTATTCCCTAAGCCCTAATCCCTAAGCCTTGAACCCTAACCCCTAACCGCTAATCCCTAAGCTTGAAACCGTTATACACTCCAACCCCTAAACCCCAATCCCTAACCCCTAAACCCTAAATCCTTACGAGCCAAGGAAGCCTCACTCCTGGACTCGGAGCCTGCCTGGGACGTTGGGGCTGCGCCACTGAAAGGCCACACGGACCCTTCTCCAAGTTCTGATTTCAGGAATTTCCGGTTTAAGGTTCAGGGTTTCGGGTTTAGGGATGTCGGGTTTAGGGATTTAGGGTTTAGGGGTCTAGGGTTTAGTGTTTGGGGGAACTTGGGGGTCCCTTTCAAGGAGATGTAGGGTAGAGGGTTTCGGGTTTTGGATGTACGGTGAAGGGTTTAGGGTTTATACGGGCTCTATAGGGTAAAGGTTTCAGGGATTCTATTTGGTTTCTATAGGCATTATGTAGGGGTTCTAAGTCCCTACACCCTACTATATAGTACGAACAAATTCCATTTCCATTTCATGTTCCATTTTCTTTTCCATTGGATTTTCCATTGGATTTTCCATTTGTCGGTGATGACGTGAACAGCTCGTTTTTTTTGGGAGTTTTCATCTCTTTGGGCGTGAGGTATCTTCACGGACGTAGCCTCTTCTATCAGCCTGTTCAGTTTACACTTTACATCTTTTGCCACGAAACCCTAAACTAAAAAAAAACTCTCGACCCTAAACTGCCCTAAATCCAAAATCCTAAACCTATGAAACTCTGAGTTGCGTTGAGTTTCTTTCAATGTTGCTTCACAGTGAGCTCTCTGCTGAGCACTTTTTTGCTTCGTGTGTGCAGTCAAAGCCACTTGCATCATGTTGCCTCAAAATAACCCCAATATAACCCCAATATAACCCCAATATAACCCTAATATAACCCCAATATAACCCTAATATAACCCTAATATAACCCTAATATAACCCTAATATTGTTGAAGGTGACTTAGACCTCCTGTCCGGGAAGGCTGGGTGGACTGCAGCAGGGCCAGCATTTTGTACATCCATCCTTAAAAGCAGCTCTTGTGTGCAGGATTTCTGGCCAGTAACGGCTTCACCCGTTACAGATGCAGCTGATCGTGGCTTGGATAGAATCAGTTGAACATAGCAGCATAAATCTGCATTAGCTGTTATGTAGAATGCTTATCTCGTGTAGTCAGTGCGCAACTGTACCTAAACCCTGAACAGAGCAAGCCTGAGTTGCCAGCTTAGGTCCACGAGACCGATCGTCTCGCGGAAAAGGCTCAGGCACGCTGAAGCCGCATGTGGTAGTTTCCATGGGAAGGGAGACCTCAATATAGATTAGGGTTTAGTGTTTAGGGGTAAGACCAAATTAAATATTAATTTGAGATTGCAATCCCTCCTGTAAGTACCCCAAGGAGGGAACCCTAATTTTAGGAAACCCTCACGTTCATCCATATATCCGTGCCCAGCACATGCTTTGTGTGTTAGGAGGACAACCCACCCTGTAATAGTGGTATACTAGGAATATAATACGAGCCTAATTTAATCCTTGCTATCCCTTATTGCAACTATTACAGGGTGGGGGGTTCATCTAACCTATAACCCCTAAATAGTAGCTTCCGTTTTCTTTCTCATTATCCCCTATTTAATCCCTGTAGCCCGTATGTATACGCAATAAAACCCCCATGTCCACCCCCGAAACCGTAAATCCTAAACTCTAAACCCTCAATCCTAACCTGCAAACCCCTAAACCCTACTCCCCAACTTGTATGTCAGGCCGAAGTAAAGACATGCGGGAAGCAAGCAAATTGCTACAAGTTCCTGAGCGGCATCTGGCAGCTCAGACTCTGTATTCCTTCATTGGGCTTATATAGGGTTTAGGGTTTAGGATTGAGGGTTTAGGGTCTAAACTCCTTAAAACAGGTTACATGAGGGATTGTATAGGAATTCACTTTAGGGGTGATTAAGGGGGATACTAGGAGTTTAGACTCTGGCTCATTTGGCCATTCATCCTGTTTGTCAACAAAAACATACACAAACTCACTGTGCGGTGGAGTCCCATTGATGAGCTCTCCACCAAATTCATTTCTGCAGCTTGGTTTTCTGCGGCAATGGAAAAGTCGTGTGCTTGATGGAAACATGCAGAACAGGGACCCAGGCAAGCTTAACCGGAAAGCAAATTGGGCTGGGATATGGTCTGATAATCGTCTCAACCTAAAGAGGTGCAGAGACTGCGCATTATTCCAGATGCAATGATATGCAGCGTCTTCCCAGGGATTCGCTGATGTCGGGTGACCATCCTGCATGCGTGTGAAAGTTACTTCATGCTTCGGCGTCTGCCACATAGGCAACGTTTCGAGCATAGGCAACAACAATCGGAGGGTGGTTGGATGACTGCTTTCAAAACTGCGATAACGACGTAAATTTCAATGCGTGTTTGAGGCATGCGCGTGCCTGACTTACCTTTCGGGCCTGCGAATAAGTAGCCACTGCTGTGTCCCACTGTATGGTAGTTCCCCAAAACGAGGCGACCCCAGTATAGTCCCCAATATACTATACTATATACTCCTTATTACAGGGACCCCCAAAAGGGTACCCCTAACTTTGGAAAACTCCCGCCCCTAACTGAAAAAATGTACTCAGTCGACCCGAGGTGAACTTGGCGCGGTTGGAGCGCCTTGAGCGCTTCGGTCTCTAACTGTGTGCGGCCGCTGCGCATTTTTTGCGCGCCAGCAACACTGCCGATGATTCAAAGTTTGGGCAGCTCTCGTTTTGATATTGCAACTTTCATGGATTTTTTGCAGCGTCCTGCGTTCAATTTGTCTGGATTCTCGAGCCAAGTACAATGTCTTGTCATTCATCACCTCAACATCGGCATGGCCGAGCTGGTTCCCGCACTACCATGTTCGGACATGGACGGCTGCGGCCCTGTATAGAATAATTGTCAGCCCTAGCACGCACGGTGACAAATGTCACATGCTGCGAAGCAGAAGAGTCCCCAGCTAGATATGAGTCCACGGCTCTTTGCACCTTAGAATATCTTAGAATGAAGACTCAGCAGTGACAGTCAGTCTCCCTCTTCTGCTTCATCGCAGCCCATCCAGGTAGCTTGGCAGGTTTCACGAGCGCACTTGCCTTGTCTTTCACAACTTGCAATTGAGCTAGAGCTTGATCCGTATAGTATACTACAATTTACTATAGTATGCTATAGTATCATACAGTTTACCATAGTATTATAGTCTATAGTATACCATAGTATACAACAGTATATTGTTTGTTGAAGATGACTGAAGATTTCCTACTCTGCAACGGCTGCTGCATGATAATTGCGGGTCGATCAGGAACGTAGGAAGGGGACATGGGACGTGGGAGCCCGTGGCCTTCATGAGCTGCACACAGCTCTCTCTGACCCTCTAGGGAAGAGTCTCGGCTGCATGGTTCATGTGCTTGGTGCTTGAACACGCATCTGAAGGTCACGTCAGAGTCTAGGCAGTTTGCTTCCCCCTTTGACCGAGGAGAGAAGCCCAGGCCAGTCGTGGTTTTGTAGGTGTGCTTGGTAAAATGTGGTATATTATAATATATTGTAGTATATTAAAGTACATTATAGCATATGATAGTACATTGTAGTACATTGTAGTATATTATAGTATATGATATTGTAAGTAAATTGCAGTATATTATTGTAGTTTATTATTATCAAGGCATGACAGATTGCGCTAGCCAGGTGTGTGCCGGCTAAGCCACGGAGAAGAAGAAGAAGTCAGATGCACCGTCGGTCAACAAGTGCCGCCCTTGTCCATAGAGCCAGCTACATGAGCTAAAGTCTAAACTCCTTAAAAGGGGGTTCTATAGGGGATTATATAGGGGATTACTATAAGGGTTATTAAGGGGGGTACTAGGAGTGTAGACAATGCCATACATGATGCCCCGGATTTGCTTGCCCTTTGCCAAGGACAGGTTCCATGAACAAGTACGATGTTTTAGGTGTCGTGGGTGAAGGAGCCTACGGCGTGGTGTTGAAATGCAAAAACAAGGACGGGCTTACAGCTGCTGGATTAGTCACCGCCCCGTAAAAGTGACCACCCCATCCCACTAACAACACCACCTCCCTCCCCCAATATAGTGCTGTCTGACTTTTTGGGGACGATGTTTTTAGGGGCCTCAACCCAAGACCCTTTCACCCTAAACCCTGCACCCCTAGGGGGCTTGTTGCTAGAAAAGGTGAGGGCAGTTGCTGGATCACGTTGTTCAAGTTGGGATCCCTTGCAGAAACCAACAAAAAGCTAAGGGGCAAACCTACCTAGGTTTAGGGTTTAGGGATTATGGAATAGGGTTTAGGGATGAGGGTTTAGGGTTTAGGGTGTAGGGATTAGGGTGTAGCGTTTAAGGACGGTATTGTATGATCTTACATTGAAAATACCTACACAGCCTCAGTTTCCATTTCGTTTTTCATCTCCTTTTCTATCTGATTCTCGTTATGAGGTTATTTACCCTGCTATAACCCAAGGGGGTGGGGGCGTTAATTAAACCCCGAACCCTAAGATCCCGAAGCCAAAACCCTAAAAGCCTAACAGCCTAAACCCTAAAACCCTCAAACCCTAAAACCCTGAAAGCCTAAATTTTCAAACCCTAAACCCTATTCTTAGTGCAGGACACCAATGAAGTGGTGGCCATCAAAAAGTTACCTCTCCCGCATGCAGCCGTCATTTTTAGCGGCCGTGGTTGTGGGCAATATGTTACTGAGGTTCAAAGAGAGTGAAGAGGACGAGGTAGTCCGAAAAACCACCCTGCGCGAGGCTGGCTTTTCTTGTTTTGGTAATATTATTTCCAGGATTATTATGAATGTGGTTACTATGAACATTATTACTGTTAGATATTTCCAGTATTATTATGAATGTTGTCAGTATTGACATGATTACTGTTGGAATTCTCATTGTTATCAATTTTATTCTTGTTAGCCCAATGTCTGGTATGACGGTATGACGGCGGCTAGCGGCTAGCAGTCTCAAGTTTGAGGTCCACCAAGTTCTAAGAATCTGTTGCTTCGGGCACATTCTTGACGTGCCCCTGAGCTCGGTCTCTCCCCTGCAGGTGAAGATCCTCCGTATCATGCGGCATGAAAACATAGTGCAGCTGAAGGAGGCGCGAGTAAGCACCGTCAAGTGCAACCCACTAGAATGCTTAAGTCGTTGTAAGCACTGCCAGCTACACCATACTAAATTATGCTTCTGTTCACTTGTGGATGACCTCAGCAGGGTGCCGAAGTAAGTTAGAGGTATGCTCATGGCGAAATCTAACAGGGACCAGAAGCTGCTTTTGCTGAGTTGGCGTCAATTGGCATCTGCCGGAGTTATCTTGCAAATAGCATTGTTTTGGACTGTCGCCGCTGTAAAAGATGTGGGGGTAAAAAGGATTAGAAAGGTATATACGGGGTTACATAGGGGTTATGTAGGGGGTATATTATGGGGGTTAAGCCTAAACCCTAAATGCAGTAGTAGTTTCCATTTTCTTTTCCATTATCCCCCATATAATCCCTATGCAACCCCGATATAACCCCAATATAATCCTTATATAACTCCTATATAATCCCTACATGATTAACCCCTATATAGCCAGAATCCCTTTATAACCCTTATATAATCCATCCCTAAACCCTAAACCTCAAACCCTAAACCCTAAACCCTAAACCCTAAGCCCTAATCCCTACACCCTAAACCCTAAACCTATATCGAAGTAGAAGTGAGCCGCAGGCCTTCCGTCGCAAGGGAAAGCTCTACCTGGTCTTTGAATTCGTGGAGAAAAGCATGCTTGACATTTTAGAAGCCCGGCTCCCAGATCATTGTCGGTGTAGGGTTTAGGGTTTAGGGTTCAGGGTTTAGGGTTCAGGGTTTAGGGTGCAGGGTTTAGGGTGCAGGGTTTGGGGTGCAGGGTTTGGGGTTTAGGGTTCCGGGTTTAGAGCTCAGGGTTCATGTGTTTGGGTTTAGGGTTTTAGAAGCCTGGCCGCCAGAGCATTGAGATCCTTCACTTGCCTTAGCACATGATTGAACAGTGACTCAACTGCAACGCATGACTGACTTCGGGCGTTTAACAATCAGGGGTACCTATTTGCGGTCCGCATGATAAGGATTATAGTATATTGAGCTCTGTTGTTCCCCCTATTCAGGGAAAAAGTGAAGCACTGGCACCACCATGTTGGGAGATGCTGCGCTGCAGTGCTTCAGCATTTGAGTGCGACCATGCGGGGGTTTCCCAAAATGGATTTTTGGGTCAGGGTTTAGGTCCCCTCAAAGGGGACACAGGGTTATATTTGGCTATATACGGATATGTAGTGATTTGTGGGGTTCAGTGTTTCCCCAAGTTTCGGGCCATTTATGGAAACTGCTATGTGAAGGTTCGAGGTGACGATGATCAAAGAGACCTGCAGTCATGTTGTCGTGGCTACTACTAACATAAGTATCATTATCATTATGGAAAAATTGTTCTTATCTCCGTAACCACTATAAGCCCCACTTAGCCTCTTTACATCCCCTCATGAGTAGTATTTTATTTGGAGATACCATGGTACCCTTGGGGTATAGTATTTTATATAGGGAAGATAATCTTACTAGGTTCAACCACCAAAAAACACCACTCTCATGACCTCTACATAACCCACGAGGCCAATCCAAATGGCGTGGACACTGAAACAGTCCGTGCACCTCGGCTTGGATGAGTTTTAGGGTTTCGGGATTAGGATT